TGGGGGGGGGGGCTCGCCCCACCGTGTGTGCACCCCCCCGCCCCAGCATCCCACTGGTCTGGAGCACGGCAGCCTGTGGATGTCTGGGCAGGATCTGCTCCCTTGCCCCAGCACGTGGTGCTGCCACCCCCGTGACATCCCTCCAGCCTCCTGGTCCCCACAGCCTGTGTCCCGCTCCCTTTGCAGCTGCTGTCGGGCGCAGAGGATTCCTTTGTTCACGTCTGGAAGCTCAGCAGGAACCCAGAGAGCGACGATGTCGAGGTGAGTCTGGGCAGCAGCAGCCCTCGGTGGGGAGCATGTGGCAAGTACGCAGCGCTCCAAGCTGTCACTACTCCATGGGGCCGTGGCACAGGTGCTGCTGTGTCCTGCAGCCTCCGGTGAAGCACCGTGGCCACGGAGAGGGGCTCACTGCTCAGTGGAAACCCAGCCAGGCCCACTCTGAGATGCTGCGGGGTGGCACAGCTCTCTTCTTTCCTCCTGCTTGTGCTCCCCAGTCCTGTCCTTGACTGGCGGAGGCACAAGCCAGGAAGGCTGCTCTGTCTAACCAGGATATGGTTCTTGTGCTCCTGAAACGGCAAGCTCAAGCCATGGCCCGATGGCCTGGCCACATGACCATGGTCCCTGCCTGTTGCCCCAGTGTAATGCTTCCGCAGGTGGGCAGGGACCCGAAGCAGGTCCCTGGGCTTCTGGCTGTGGTGGGTTGTACTTTACTCAGCCTATGCCACCATTTCAGCTCCTCTCTCTGCTGCAGCTCCAGCACTGCCATGCCGAGTGCGTCACCGACACCCAGGTCTGTGGTGCCCGCTTCTGCGACCCCGAGGGAAACTCCTTTGCTGTGACTGGTTACGACCTGAGCGAGATCTTCCGCTACAGCCAGGCGTAGGCTGTGAGCTGCAGAGTCTGTCCAGGGCACGCAGGGAGAGTCGGGCTACCCTGACACTGTGGTGCATCAGCACCGAAGCACTGTAAGCAAGGGGGGGGGTTCAACACAGCCCCCCGATTTCTGCTGCATGGGGCCTGGGCAGCGGTGACACAGGGCTGTGCCCCCAGCAGGGGAGAAATCTGTGTGAAGGTGGAGCTGAGCCAGGGTCCCCTCATTCCCAAAGCAAACCTGCCCTCCTCCCACCTGTC